GGAATGAGGAATCCGAGAACGAAATCCGATTTTCAGACGTCTTAGTCAAGCGAACAACCACAAGAAAATTAGAAACTCAAGTGAATAGAAAATCAGCCCTCATAGATCAAATACTCAATTAGAAGAGCAACAATCCAATAACACACAAACGGCACTGCATACAAACACAATTCAAGAGCGCCAGCGAGGACTCATTGCAGCACTCCCACTTTAGGGAAAACTGAAGAATGGTATCTCATTGACGTCTTCCTCAAAAAAGGATATCCACGAAACTTCATCAAAAGACATCTACCCCCAAACCTTACCGAACAAATCAAGGGCCCCCAAGGAAAGCACAAAGAAAATCACCTTACCATATATAAAGGACATCTCAGAAATCACTCCGAGACTCTTCAAACCTTTAGGAATTGACGTCGCACACAAACCAACAAAATCACTTCACTCAGCTCTATGTCAACCAAAAGACTCAACAGCGAAAGAAGATAAAACTAACATCATCTACAAAAATAAATTGTAACAACTGCGAAAAACACTACATTGGCCAAAGTGGACGTCCCCTTCGTTTTTGTATCCGTGACCATAAGCTAGCCGTCAAAAGACATGACATTCATTCCCTCATATCGCCTCACTACATACAGACAACCACGGACATCAATTCAACTGGGACAAAGTTCAAATATTAGACAGAGGAAACACCAAGAATGCTAGTGAATTTTTAGAACCCTGCTTGGTATTCCAGTGAATCCGTCAATCAATAGACACATCGACATACACAAAATTTACCAATCGATAAGAAGGAAACCTCACACACAGAGGGTCAAAGTTCAAGTCAAGGAAACAATCAATCCCAATACAAGTAGCCTAGAGGGGTGTGAAAACACACAAAAACAACCAATCACGTTCAAGGTCACCAGGAGAGATGACTAATAAACTCGTGGAGAAATCAAAAAGCTCACTTCAAATTGAAGTATGCGCTGAGGACGTTGTCTAGTGGGGCTATGAAAGCTTCGTAAATTAACTATCCAGCTCAGAGAAGACAACTACATCAAAAGCACACGTACTTGTCATACAGTTTTATAGAGGGTAAGAAAGCGTGAATCATTACAGTACAGGTCAAATTGTGTACAGATCAAGGTCAAAAATAATGGGTAAAGAGATGATGGAAAGGTGTGGGTAGGAAAGAAAAAAACAAAGAAGAGGTTGAAAATATTATGAAGTAAATTTATCCTTGGTTCTAAATTGGATTTCAATATATTAAATATTCCCATATTAAAATTTAGAACAACACATTTAAGCGAACAATATTGTTTTCAATTAGATCTCATCAGGCTTAACTCTAATATACATAAGTTTACAAATAAAAATTCAAATATAAACCAATCATGGTGTTTTGTCTATAGGATAATAAGATGGTGAATATAAATTGTGCAATTAGTCATAATAGTAGTAATGATAATAATAATGGTCTTATCAATAATAAGGATGAAAAAGTGAGGCAATCTGTGATAACACGAATAATGAAAAACAGCATGATTAAACAAACAACTGTTCAGGTGGAAGTAGTCGATAAAGGCTAGTAAAAACAAATGAACCGATTAAGTAATGTTAGATTGTAAGGGAAGTAAATGAAACACGTTTATAATGAAGATGTGATAAGATTAAGGGATGATAAGAAAGGGGTTGAAAATATAAACAAGGGGTGGTGTAGAAGTCACTAGTTGCTTATGTCTTAATAGGCCAAGGGAGGGATAATGACTGTACGAACTTCTTTTGAATGCATAGTTTAGGTTTAATAGTTCGAATGCCTATCGCCTCAGTTGTGTGCAGTAAACGAATACCAAGTCCATTGGAATGATTCGGTGGGATACGATGAATTACTTTGAAGGCTCTCATTTTCTCCACTACATTATTATGATTGTATCCTTTAATTCCTAGAGGAACATAGGGTTTCAGCCGTGCGTCCCCATTGAGTTCGGTTTTCTGCTAGAGTCTTCACCTGGCTCCAAGTCTGCCTACACGCTTTCATCTCCTCTTCACATGACCTCCTCCAAGTCACCCTTGCACTGACGACCAACTCGCCGCTCCCCTTTCGGGTTCCACTCGAGCAATGGCTTGTCTAGTGATGTCACTTGATTGATTGTTTCCTCAGAGTATGGCCAATCCATCTCCATTTCTTCCTGCCTATTTGTTTCACAATCGGTTCCTGCTGTGTTGGTTCGCTCATTGCCAGAGATCTCTGTTGCTGATCTTTTCTGGCCATCTGATCTTGAGTGGTATTGAGCGAAGACAACTGTTAATGAAGGTCTGTAGTTTGTTTGAGATGCTCTTTATGACTCACAGTGCAAGTCTCTGATCCGTATGTTAAGTAGCACTGACTGACTTCACATTGGAGTTGAAAATCCGGATCTTATTTTCGATGCTGAACAGTGCTGTTGACCTCCACACAGACTTGAGAGTAGTGAAAGCTTGTCTTGCTTTTCCGATTCTTGCTTTGATACCCTCATCAGTTCCGTCGGCCTGTAGTTGAAACGATGCTTCCCAGGTAGGTGGGTGAAGGAGGTTGTTTCTTTCAGGTTCCTCCCATTTATGCTGGCTGATTGTTGTCTGTTGTTGTTGTTGCTGTTGGTGGTGTTGCAGTTGGCGAGGAATCTTCATCACCTCTGTTTTCTCTATGTTCACCTGAAGTCCCTCCTATCTTCTCTGGATGCTTCTTCTGCCAACTTGTTGCTTTTCACTTGCATATCTTCCAGTTTGTGGGAAATCAGACATATATCATCGGCGAAGTCCAGATCCTCCAAGTTTTTTGTGTGAGTCCATGTTATGCCTGTTTCCTCATTGCCCGTCGCTGTTTGTCGCATTATCCAGTCTACTGCAATCGGGAAAATCATTGGTGAGAGTAGGCAGCCAGCTTGTCTTACTCCTTCCTGTCCTCACTTCGAAGGGTTCCATAAGTTTCCCGTTGTGGATTACTTGGCATGCAGCTTTGTCGTATAGCTGTTGGATGAGATGTATAATTGTCGGTGGCACCCCATAGTAGCGAAGTAGTTTCCAAATCACCTCTCGATCGACGCTGTCGAAGGCCTTTTCAAAGTCGATGAAGTTGAGATAGAGAGGTGACTGCCACTCTAAGCTTTGTTCAATGATGATCCGTAATGTGGCGATCTGATCAATACATGACTTGTTTCTCCTGAATCCAGCCTGTTCCAGGGCATGTTTGATTCTCTCCAGGATGATGCGGCTTAGTATTTTGCTTGGGATGGACAGGAGCATAATTCCGCGCCAGTTCTTGCATTGACTTAGGTATCCTTTCTTTGGTAGTTTGAATAAGTATCCTTTCTTCCAATCCTCAGGTACTTTGCCTTCTTTCCACACCTTCTCCAGTAGTGGCGTCATCAAGTCCGCTGTTGTCTCTGGGTCCGTTTTCGATGCTTCTGCTGGGATTCCATCTGGTCCTGCTGCTTTTCCAGCTTTTAGCATCTTCATTGCCTTCAGGACTTCTGATTTCGTTGAGGGGGGGGGGTTGGTGTTCACTGGTAGCTCTGTCTCCGTCGTTGGTATTGCTGGGCGCGTTGTAGGTGGTGGTCGATTTAGGAGTCTTATGAAGTGTTCAGCCCAGTGTTTCCTTCGCCGGCTTCATGAACATCTCGATGAGAGTCGTTTGTAAGAGAGTTCATGAAGTTTCATGGGAATTTGGTACGAGTGATGTCCCCAGAACCACTCGGCCTTTTGTTTGAGAGTGCAGCTCTAGCCTTTACACAACCAAGTGTGACCTGCAAGGCAGTAGGAGTGGAGTAGGGAGTCCACTATCCATTGGCAGCCGGTGACCGGAGTTCGGTTCATACGCCTTTTTGAATGGGGCCAGACATCCAGGACATCCAACAAGCCCTTTGTCCATACGTCTGCTGGTGAGCTCCAGTGAGATTCATACGCCAGTCGTCGAAGGTCTGGAATCAGGGTTTAGCCATCTCCCCTAGACTGTCATCCAATGGGCAGTCAACCCGGTGAAGAGCGCCGGGCATCCGCTTTCGCTCTCTCACTTTGGTGAAAAGCACCTCCGCCACGTGAGTGAGTGGAACTTCCTCAGGAGAGGCTATGTAAGATGCCCGGTCATATGGGAACATTTCAAGGGGTGTGCGGAGGGTTGGCCAACCCGCAGAGCAAGGCACCCACCCCCGACCATCCTGAGGCTTTGGAGGCGTCTGAACTGATACACATATATGACTAATTAATTAATCAATCAGTGTAGAACTTTAAACAGTGGTACATCAGTTTGAGAGTCTCTACACATAAAAATGCATGCAGGAGTATGTAAGTACAGCACTACGGTGAATAAATGTGTGCAATAAAAAGACTAATTCGTATGGTAGGTGAAGAACACCTATGCTATTGTATACGATTTTGACCCATCCAAACCCCAACAGTCCTCAGTCATTTGATCGTTTTTGGGTTAACTGACACCTCTTTTGAATACGTTTAAATCATTGTTTAGTGACAAATTGTGGTCTTGAACAACCTTGACTCTGTTTCAAGTAACATAGGCTTGTCAATGCCACTTATCATGGCCAGTGTACAAAGTAATCTCTCAATTCATTCTCCACTTCTGTGTTATGCTGATTAGAACTCAATTACGCGGAATATATATATTTTTCATATACCAAGTTATAAGTCATACCTATTGTATGTATGTGTGAATGACTGCTGATAATAATATCCGGTTGCTAGCTTCCCTTGGCTGAATTAGCCGGATACAGGATTCCAACCGGAGGACTCTTTAGCTGTTTCCTGAATGCTTAGGCCGGAGGGTCAGTCGCATTGCCTGCTCCTTTACCTAACACTTTAAGTCGGACTACGTATATTACTCATCATGATGTACTTCTTTGTGGGAATTCTACATTGATTTGTTCCACACCTGTGTAAATACGAGAGCTTTATAAGATGCTTACTGAGTAGTTGCATTATTGTGATTATTACCATTATTTCTTTTTTTTTCTAACTTGTAGATTGATGAAGATTTAATAGAAGATCTTGGCGAAATGAAACGATAAGCTAAATATATATATATTTTGTTTATGAATGGAAAATACTTTGTCACATGTTGTTTGTTGTACAGTGCTGTTATTAACTAGTCTTATTGTCTTGCTGTTTTTATTTTGACTGGAAGTATAATATATTTTATACGAATTAATTGTGTTCATTCATTCATAGAGTGTTTCTTCTGTGCTGTGAACTTCCCGTAGTTATTGACTTGTCTTGCTCTGAAGTGGGTTCGCCACCGACTCATTGAGTATTGAACAGGCGTGCACCAGTTAAACTTAACACATCGCATACGGCACTCAAAGTTAGTAATCAAAAATCTCCCGAAGAAACAAGAGGCAATGTGGACAAGCTATTAGACATTCCTAATTATTCGACATGGAAACGACGAAATGCATGGAGTGATTTTAAGAAATACAGCCAAAACCTTAAGGCATGCCCAAAACTCCAGCTAGTATTCACAAGACTCTACGGCAAAGTTCAACAATAGTGTCTTAGGAGTGCGAATGCACGAGTGACCTTCAGCTGACCAATCATAAAAATGACGAATGTTTGCTCAAAAGAAAATGCTTGAAAACTCACTAAACAGGTTATCTTTCTCTGACATGGCTTAAAAAAATACGTCCTAGTTATATCGAGGAGTATCAGTAGCTAAGTTAGACTAGTTTCTGTACATGTATTCACCGAGATGACTACAGATAGACTGTTTTTGTGAATCGTTTATCTCTCTCATTCTGGTTGCAGTCTTCCAAAAAAGCCATCGGTTGAATTATTGTGGTTTCCAGCCGAGAGGATAGACGACTGCTTAGCAGGAAAACGTGGATAATAAAACAAATTAAATTAAATGACATCCACTATAAATCTATCCCTAGTCGTAACTGTAACCTTAATCCTGACCCTAATCTTAATCCTAACCCTAATCATAACTCTTATCCAAACCGTAATTCTAACCCTAATGCTAATTATAACCCTGATCCCTAACTCTAACGAGCTATTCAGACATTGTCCAAACAGTACTTAAAAACGTGATCTGGGTGAAATTTGCTCCTTACTTGGTAAATAGCATTGATACTTCAGCTATGACAATAACAGGTGCCGTCCGCCAATGACTAGCCTGCGTTCAAGGTCCTTGGAGCGTTCACACTCCTGAGACGCTATTGTTGAACTTCGCCAACTCTACATTTTGTGCTAGCTAGCCACACACTTAAACTTCTCTCTTTGTCTGTCTGCGCTTAAGACTGACTGGCTAATAAAGTTGGGAGGTAGTTGGTAAACTAGCCAAGGTTAAATGTTATGAGGTCAGGGTGTATCCGTGTAGCATACTACTACTGGAACCCTTTTTGATGCTTGCATATAACCTTAGGGTCACTTGCGGACTTACTACTATCCTATCCATCACCCTTGGCACATCTGGCAACATAAAGTCATGGGGACAGTATCTAAGCATCTGGCGGGCCAGGTGCCCCTTAGAAAGTTTACATAAAAGAAGTGTCAGTTGACTGATTTTTTACTTCCCTTTCATTCTGTCTGTGTATCTGTGTCTCATACTTGTACTTGAAATTATAGCGAATTGTACTCTTTGGCTATCAGCTAAGCATGGCATCAATTGTCTGTCAATAAACAAGTAATCTAGTAAGTGTAGTAGTCAATCTGGTGTGTTATGATTGATAGGAAGACATTACACAGTGATTCCGAATGGCTGAATGATGAGTGGACTTGCGAGGTAATATTTCACTCCAAAGTGCAGCAGTTCAAGTTGTCACACTTCATGAAAGCAAAAGCAGTGTGAAGAGAAATGTAAGGAAGACGTAAGGATAATAATGATAATAATAATCCACTTTATTCCAAGACGGACAGTACTTATAATACAGAATGGGATTCTCAGCATTCGTCACAATATTGCATCTGATTTACTCAAAATATAAATAAAATTAAAAATTGAAACCAAATTAACCAGAGGAATTTGTCCACATTTACGGTATAAAGTCAAAAATATTGGAAGTACAAAATGAGAATATTAAACATAATAATAATAATAACAGTGAGTTTGTTTCAAACAGTATTGTCGATTCAGTTTGGAAATTTTAGCATGTTATAGAGGCATTGAGTGTAATGTTCAGCTGATATAGTATAGTGAGGGGAAAGGTAAAATTAACAGTTATAACACAGCTTAAATGATGAATCACACTTATGAAAAAAATAAAAAATTGAGAGGATTATAAAACTAAGAAAACAATAACGATAAAGCTTGATGTTATAAGAGTGGAGAAAGTGGTTTATTTAGTGGTGCTAAGAAGGTTAGTTAGTTCATGCCTGACACTATTTTCATCACATAAAGTACGTGCTAAATATGGTATAGTGGAATTTTTATACTTAGACGTGCGTGCATAAATTCTTCTGAAAAGACTTCTTGTTTTACCTGAGGAGACACAAGGTTGGAGCTGTGGGTAGAGTGGGTGCTCAGAGTCTGACAAAATTCCTTTAGCGGAATTGTTGCATGACATCAAGTGCCTGTCAGTGACAATGTCAACGATATGGCCCAATAGGATGCCACTCGTCCCACTGACAGTCTTCAGAGTTCTACGAAGTATGACATAGTCCTTTTTAAGCAATCCAGGAAAGAATAAGCAGGGGTGAACAGTAAAGAAGAATAGGTAAAATACACGAGTTGACAAACTGTAAGAGGAGAGGCTGAGTTATGCCTGAGTGCCTTAACTTCTTAATGTAAAAAGTCAGACGAGATATTCTTATAGAAATCGCTAAGACATGAGAGGACCAGGATAGGTCAGAAGAGAGAATTAATCCAAGATACTTAACTTCAGATTTGATTTCTATATCATTATCATCAATTTTGCAACGATCATAAGAACCAACAGCTTCATTTAACTTTCTCTTACATCGAAAACTGAAATTAACAGTCTGACACTTGGAAGGATTTAGTTTAAGACCATTAGACGAAGACCATTTACGGACTCCTGATAGAAAGCTGTTCATCTTAGTATAGTCAAGCGGGAGTTAACAGACATTGAAATAGTTAGATCATCGGCATACTTAACAAAGTTCATTTCATCAGAGTGAAGCAAGTCATGCAAGAAGAAAGAAAACAGAAAAGGAGAAAGGACGGTGCCTTGAGGGACACCAGCCCCAGTAAGCAATGAAGTGGACGACTTTCCCTGACATACAGTATACTGCTTTCTTCCTGAGAAATAAGAATGGAGCCATTTGGCAACCCAACAGTCAGTTTGAGTTTCAGCAAGTTTGTTCAACAAAATGTCCCTAGTTACTGAGTCAAAAGCAGATGTGTAATCTAGGAAGGTGCAGCGAACAAATTTAACCCCCTTGTCTAAGCTGGAGACAATGTTATGATACAAGACTGCAACTGCATCTAAATTACTTCTACTATGTTTATAGGCGAATTGTTTGGGATCATTAAAGACTTTAAGTGAAGGTTGAAGATTAAGTAAGAGCAACTTTTCCATAGCTTTTAGAAAAGGGGAAGTAATAGCAATGGGTCTAAATTTAAAACATGTCGCAGTAGACGACTTAGGAATAGGTACAATTTTAATGTCCTTCCAAGCGGCTGGCACGACATTTTTGGAAAAAGAATCATTAAATATGTCCATGAGAGGATAACACAGGATATCTGCACAATTTTTAAGAATAACACTAGGCAAACCATCTGGACCCAGGCTACCGGAAGGGTTCATAGACTGAAGACATTTTAGAACAACATTTTTAGTAAATCCAGGGAAGCATGTTTCATTAATACTTGTAACACTAGAAAGTTTGGCATGTGTGGGAGAATGTATGAAGGACTTGTTTAGTTTGAAAACATCAAGGGAATAAGGAATACTGTTCATCTGCTTACCACCAGTAATTTCTTTGAAAAGTTTCCATATGTTAGACGCATTTTTACAGGATATAAACTTTTGTTTGTAAATTGAATTCAATCTGTGCATTTCGGACTTTATTAGGATGTCAATTCTTTTCAAACCAGCATTATCCTTCATTTTATATAACTTTTCTTTTTGTCTGCGAAGCTTTTTAAGTTGAGGAGAGGAGAAACGGTCAAATCTGATGAAGAGCGTTTCTCTGGGACAACAGGTGTCAAGACAAAATTTGAGATAACTTGTAATATTAGAGATTGGGCCATCAAGAGAGTCTACATTAAACAGGTCCTACCTTGTGTCTTTGAGCATGCTTCTGAGATTCTGAACATTCTCCATAGAGTAACATCCATGTACAATTTTCTTGGACGGGTGTGAAGAGGTTCTCTTGTGTAATTTTCCATAAATTTTAGGTAAAACCCGTACAATACAATGATCTGAGTTAAACAGTGGAGCTCTTTTACGAGCTTCGTATATTCCGGAGTCATTGATAAATACAAGATCAAGGGAATTATCCAGTCTGGTGGGAAAGTTAACAACATTTTCATGACCTGTCACTGTTAGAAAGCTGCAGTCACATGAATTAAAATCACCTGTCACTATGGACAGGGAGTTACCAAAAGAGGCCGCAGCGAAAATAGTGAATTCATCAGCAAACATGGATAATTCTGAAGTGCTACAACTTGCCCAAGTTTTAAGGAGGCCATTTATGGAGGATAATCAGAATTTGGTGAATCCAGGTGATGAAGAATGAATCGATCTGGAAAACTGAAACGGATTTTCAGCCATATGAGAAATAGTCTCCAGTCAGTCATCTATCTAGGTAGTCTACACCTGCCTATGTGACTGAGTGCAGTTAAACAGTTCATAGAGTGACTTCGTGTTTCTGTTTGACCATCCCTACTAGCTAACTCTTTTCCAAACTAATCCTATGTCAGCTAACACTGCCAGTTGACAGAGGTGGTGACTCGTCATACTCAGCACGTGTCCTAGCCACCTTAATCGAACTGGCTTGATAATCTGATGTACTGATTTCCCTCGCTTACCTAGCACTCTGTGTCTAACCTCAGTATTCCTCTCACGGGAGATAGAACGTGAACGCATATGGTAAAAGGCAGCTAACCTTTTCATGCCTTATTCCTACTTTCACAGTTTGTGTCTCACTGAAAGCCATAAAGATAGTGCGTGAGTGGGAGCTAACTGCTGCTGTGCAGTACACACGTCATTTGATCGATAGCCAGCTGGGTATCACGTCTAGGCGAGT